CTTCTGATAACATGTCCAATGTATGTGAGATGAAATCGCTCATCTTTGGGAGATGAAATCTCCCACCTGAGGAACATGCTGGCTGTACTTGTTCATGTTCTAAGACAGATTTATTTATTCTTTCGGGAGTATCCGGTACTTTCAATATTTTCACCGGCATCACGATTCAAATGTATTGATTCATTTTCAGTGCACCAGGAAAAAACATTTTTTGCTTCTACAACTCTATAGTAAATGCAACTTTAGATACTAGTTATTCTTAAGGAAAGCTTGGAGGAAGCTTCACTCTAACACATGGGGGAACAATTATAATTAGAGTGTAAAGAGAGAGCTCTAGCATTGTTTTACTAATGTTTGTACAGCTCTGTTTCATTTTGGTCATTTTTGCAGCCATAAGAATAACAATTGACTTTTAGAGAGCTTTCATTTAAACTTTTATCACAACTCTGTGATATGTATCCTTTGTAGGTATTTTAAAGGCTTTTTAAATAATTGAAAGTATTGATATTAGTTGTATAAATCTGAGAAAATAATAATATAACGTAATAAAGAACTAAATCGAGACTAAACACCTTACCAAATCTACGTATCTCAGAGAAATATAATGTCCACTGTATGATGACATACCTATCTCTTCCCCAAACTCATAGTCTCCAATTTTATTCTCCTCTCTGGGCCACTCTTTGGCCATCTCTAGTTAGTAAGGGCTGAATTTTTTTTTTAAATGTACATTATTCTCCATGGCCCTATATTTGGTGTTTCATGTCACCCTTATGACGGGTGCTGCAAAACAAAAACAGTGTCTTTGACACTATTCCAACTCATGGCAACCACATTGTAAAGTATAGAGTTGTGCTCCATACCATAGTACTGGCCTCAGTGTTTCTAAAGGAGACTTGGTGGCACAGCAGTTAAGCACTGGACTGCTAACTCCAAACTTGTTGCTGCACCTTGACAGACAGAAATGGCTGGCTGCTTCCAGAAAAAAAAAACAACAAAAAAACCGCGAAAGAAAGCAAGCTTGACCAATGGTTACCAGAGGTGAAGAGGAAAGAGTGGTTGCATAGGGGACGTCGAGTTTATGTCAATGGTGGTAGAATAATCTGGAAAAGGAGATCAATAGTGGCTGTGCTGCACATAATCAATGACACTGATGTGGAATTGGAGAATATTCTGTTGCGTATATTTTTGTCACAATTAGAAAAAAATACCTAAATAACAAGGACTCCAAGGGAGGAGAAATTGTTCTGGAAATGAACATCACAATTGTACAATTCGTTTTGATGGGATTCAATCATTCAATTGTGTGACGTGTGGATAAAGTGCTCATAAAACTTTTGGAATAGAAAAAGGATGTTAGCCTCAGAAATCCTCTGGGGCGATTCAACTAGGCTATGCGTCAGAATCCACTGATAGCAATAGGTTCACCTTTTGAGAAGCTTCCTGGAGAGTGCGAACAAAGTTGTGCTAGCCTGCTAACTTAAAGATTGGTACTTCAGATCCCCCCCAGTCCAAGAAAAGTCCCGTTTATCTGCTTCTATAACAATGACAACAAACAGCCAATGCACCAGCTCTACTGGGTCACGTACAGGGTGGGTGTGAGTCAGGATTGAATCAATGTCACCATTTCTCCTTTGGTGTTATTAGTCTTACACACACACACACACACACACAAACAGGATTGAAAAAAGTTGGTTGCTTGGCTTTTCAAGGCACATCTGGATGCATTCAGACCACCGGCCTTTTGGATGGTAGGCACATATTTGATTTTTGAGGTTCACAGCCTGGGCTCTGTCGTTTTTCAGAAAATCGGCTTTACAAACAAGCATATGTTTTGTAAGGTGGGAATAAAAACTCTCGAAGATCGCATACATGTTTATTATGAGTGGGTGTAAACAGCAATGGGATTCAAACGATTTACCAGTTTGCTGGCCCAATGACCATGTTAAGAATGAAATAAATGATGTACCAAAAGGGAGTATATTTCAGACATTTAATTCTTAAATAATAACAATAAAAGAGGTACCCAAAACTTGGATTATGTTATAAGAAAATGTTAGAATATTCATGAAAATATTAAATGATACCTCACAAAACCAATAAAACTGTTGCTTCAGATATTTCCATATTGCTTCTTGATTGGCATTCTGACTTGCAATATTTCCTCCTTTTTATCCAAGCATCATCAGCTGTGTGATTCACCCTCATCTTTCAACTGTAGGAGTAGGATCACGGCCCTTTAGAGCAATGTTTCTGAACCTGTGGGTCGCGACCCCTTTGAGGGTAGAAGAACCCTTTCACAGGGGTCGCTCAAGATCATCAGAAAACACATCTTTCTGATGGTCTCAGGCACTGAGACACCACTCCTCTATCATCTGTCTCCAGGCGGGTCCGCCCACATGCAGATACACCCACATACGAGTACCCGGCGTGAAGACTGTTACCCATGCTACACCATGCTTCCAGACAAAATTTCATGGATTTGTCATTAGCAATAAATATTTCACAATACATAATTACATATTGTTTTTGTGATTAATCACTATGCTTAAATTATGTTCAATTTGTAACAATGAAAATACATCTCGCATGTCAAATATTTACATGACGATTCATAACAGTAGCAAAATTTCAGTTATGAAGTAGCAAGAAAACTAAATTTATGGCTGGGAGTCTCCACCTCATGAGGAACTGTATGAAAGGGTCGTGGCATTAGGAAGGCTAAGAACCTCTGCTTTTGAGGTAGGCCACTTAGCCAAAAGTCATTGTGTTTGATACATTAAAAACAGTAGGTGACCTCTTCTCTGAACATATTATGTTCATCTTTGAAACTCCCCTTTCTTCCACTGAAGAAATGAGAGAAAGTGTTCAGACAATATTTTTAGCTCTTTGAAAGCTTTCTGGAATTGTGTCATTCATCCATATTACCTGGTGGGGATTTGGTGCAAAACACAAAGTGGACGTGAAAGAGAGGCTGCAACCTCGGGTTGTTTGTCCCTTATCCTCTTTGCACACTTTGTTTCTTTCCTGAAGTAACACACATATGCAAAGGCATAAAAAATATACTATTTGATCAAAAGTATGAATTTTAGGAACTAGAGGAAAGTACCAGAATATGCACACTGGTACAGATAGGAACTGGAAATACAGGGAATCCAGGGCAGATGATCCCTACAGGACCAGTGGTGTGAGTGGTGATACTAGGAGGGTAGAGGGAGACTGGGTTGGAAAGGGGGAACCGATGACAAGGAACTATATGCGACCTCCTCCCTGGGGGATGACAACAGAAAAGTGGGTGAAGGGAGACGTCGGACAGGGAAAGACATGACAAAATAATAATTTATAAATTATCAAGGGTTCATGAGGGAGGTGGGAGCGGGGAGGGAGGGGAAAAATGAGGAGATGATGCCAGGGGCTTAAGTGGAGAGCAAATGTTTTGAGAATGATGAGGGCAATGAATGTACAAATATGCTTTACACATTGTTTGTATGGATTTTGATAAGAGTTGTATGAGGCCCTAATAAAGCAATTAAAAATAAATTAATTAAATAAACTTTAAACATAAATTTAAAAAGTATTAATTTTATGAAATGAATAAATATAAATTACAAGCATAGTTCTAATGTTTTATACCTATGCACTAAAGACCTGTGGAGTAAATAAGCATTACTATGGGGGTTAGAGTGTGCTGTTACACAGATGAAAGTTAAAAAAGAGTAAGGAATGTAAATTTGTGATTTCCACCTTAGAGACAACCCTGTCTCAACAAAAAATTAGGTATGGTTTCTGCCAAATCGCTGCAAACCAGCTTAATGCCACCACTGGGTGTTGGATGTAAACGCCTCGTCTCCACCACTAAAACCATCAGACTTTATGAATTTTTTCCCATTAACGTTTTTACTCAGTAAATGCTGATTGTGTGACTCATGCAAATTCAAGGTAACTGGGGTGACGTCAAAATAATGGATACTCAGATCTGACATTATTCCAATCTTTATTGGGTTCACATGAGAGTCATGTCTTAAATATCATACAGCAAACTATTAAAGATTATTGGGGTGATCATTGTGAGCTCCTGGCAGGAATTGTATTGACAGAAACTTCAACTTGTTAGGGTAAGATGTCTAAGAAAAAAGAGAAAACTTTATGGTATACATATTAGGGAATTAATCTAATTTGATTGAAGTATGAACTGGATGTGAGGAATCATTAAGGGATAAGTGTGGCAAAGCGTGAAGAAGCCAAACCCCACAAATTCTTGAATATCAAAACATCCAACTGAACATTACTTGATAGACAATCGTAGCCATGAAAGTTGTTGAATAAGAAATTGATACAGATAGGAACTGGAAACACAGGGAATCCAGGGCCGATGATCCCTTCAGGACCAGTGGTGTGAGTGGCGATACTGGGAGGGTAGAGGGAAGGTGGGTTGGAAAGGGGGAACCGATTACAAGGATCTATATATAACTTCCTCCTGGGGGGATCTACAACAGAAAAATGGGTGAAGGGAGACGTCAGACAGTGTAAGATATGACAAAATAATAATAATTTATAAACTATCAAGGGTTCATGAAGGAGGGGGAAGTGGGGAGGGAGGGAAAAGAATGAGGAGCTGATATCAAGGGCTCAGACAGAAAGCAACTGTTTTGAAAATGATGGCAACACATGTACAAATATGCTTGACACAATGGATGGATGGATGGATTGTGATAAGAGTTGTATGAGCCCCCAATAAAATGATTAAAAAACAAAGAAATTGATATAATCAAACTTATAATAATTATAAAGTAGATTGAATAGAGAGGAAATTGATGGCAAATAAAATAGAGGTTTATTGTGGTAAGGTATAAAGTAAAAACCTCCTGAACTGGGATATATGTTTTTCATTTCTCCCTGGTATCAAATACTGAATTTTATTGAGAATATATGTACATATTTACATGGAACTTTTATGCCAAGTCAAGGTAAATAACTTCTTGACTTTTTTTCCATTTCAGATATTTCATTATTCATATACTGCTTCATATGTGATTTACAACATACACACAAGGTAAGTTTTGGATTTTTTTGGTTTTCATAAACAATTGTTCAAGTTAATTCTTGGTGTGGAAATGCATTTGTATTAAACATTTGTATTACATTTGTATTAATTTGTATTAAACATTGTATTAATTTGTATTAAACATTTACTTATTTTTCAAGGGAAGTTTGGGAGTTAAATCCGCCTGAAGTAGAGGATTCGGTTTTGCAGTACGCAGCCTGGGGAGCTCAAGGGCAGCAGCTGGTAAGCACAGACTTTAAGATGCTCGGAGGGATGTGAGCCGAGCTACAGACACGGGTTCTCCCTTTAAAAATGCTGTCTCATACTTGTTTCTTTAAATGAGAAATACAACTTTCCTCTAGTTCCTAAATGTTTCCTCCCCGCTCCCACTACCATGACTCGAATTCTATCTTGCAAGACTGGCTAGACCAGAGGAGGTACACTGGTACAGATAGGAACTGAAAATACAGGGAATCCAGGACGGATGAGCCCTATAGGACCAGTGGTGTGAGTGGCAAAACAGGGAGGGTAAAGGGAGAATGGGTAGGAAAGAGGGAACCAATTACATGGAACTGTGTGTGACCTCCTCCCTGGGGGACAGACAACCGAAAAGTGGATGAAGGGAGACGTCGGACAGGGCAAGATATGACAAAATACCCATTTATAAACTATCAAGGGCTCATGAGGGAGGGGGGAGCAGGGAGGGAGGGGAAAAATGAGGACCTAATGTCGGGGGTTTAAGTGGAGAGAAAATGTTTTGAGAAACGATGTACAAATGCGCTTTACACAATTGATGTGTGTATGGATTGCGATAACAGTTGTATGAGCCCCTAATAAAATGTTAAAAAAAAAAAAGATCAGCAGACAGACCTGGAAAAAAAAATTTAAAAAAATAACATTCTTCTGTATCTTTAATAGCCCCACTCCTAAATACATAAAATGATACTACCATTATATTATATCTTACTTAATGAATGAGTTTATAGCGTAATGTGATAAAACTGGTAGTTAATAATGAAATTGTAATTGAACTCAATACTATTAGGGTCTAGTCTTGGTTAATGTCTATCATACAACATTATGAATTTTAATATAAAACTCAAAAATTCGATTAGCCTTTAAAATATTTTCACCACAAACACTCAACATAGAATGCATTACTTCAGATTCTTTTCATAAAGAGGATTTTTATCATAATGAATTTTTCATAAACTCAAAAAGATCACTTTGACATATAGAAGCAGTTTAAGGAACAGCACCAGCTGCACCATAGAAGGAAGAGGAGGCTCACTACTCCCATAGAGAGTGACAGTCTTAGACACCCGCAAGGGCAGTTCTACTCTCCCCTAAGTCCTGTGAGACAGAGTCCACTCCATTGCTATGACCGAGTGACATTGCTCAGGGGATTTGTGTAAAAGACTGTCTTTAGGAAATAATGCCCCAGGAAATTAGTTATATGGAATGTGTAGGCTCCAATGTACTAGGCATTGAGATATTGCTTTCTGGAATGCTTGCTGTTTATTTACCAGCCATCTGTGCAAATTCCTTTTGTTTAATATCCTCAATTAAGCCTCGTTTTCCAGACTTTGAAATTATTTCCCACTTTATGGGTATAAAATTCATTGTGGTTCATTAATATTTATTATTTCCTTGGATTATTATGAACTTGAACAACTTTTATGTAGTTACTGGATATTTATAGTTTATCAAATGTAAAATACATTTCTCTCATTCTGCCTATTCTCATATTTTATCCTTTTAAGGATAAAATAAGAATTATTTATTTATGCCAAATATTGCTACTTGGTTAAGTCTGTCTTTGCCTAATCTTTGGCTTGACTTTTTACTGTATTATTTTATTTCTATGTCACACAAACAGAAAGACATTTGAAATTCAATTTTGGCTTTTAAGTTACATATTCAAAGTTAATATTTAGAATGTTTTTGCTTTGAATTTTTACACCTAGTGTGAGATATTAACATTTCAGTGATAGTAAATTTTCATATCAAAGAACTTTTTATATATTTTCAGTTATTTGGGACTTATTTGATGTAGTTCCATGAAATTTAGTCATTTTCTACCTAGATTTTGCACCTAATAGTTATCATTGCATATGTAAATGTTCTCCGGCTCTTTTACCTCCTCTTTTCTCTTTTAGTAGTGTTTAGAAAGAAATGATGCAATTAAGTTCTGTTATTGATTTTGCACACAACAACCTTGTTAAACTAACATATCAGTTCTTACTTGTTTTTACATGAATTATCATATTATGTGGTCCAGCAGCTGAGTTTTCCATCTGGCTTTTTATACTTAAAAAAGAATACCGACTGCTTGTGCTCTGGCATATATAAGTTTTTTTTCATACAGGAATATTTTAACACTTACTATAATATAGATATGATTATTATTTTTTTACTGGGGGCTCATACAACTCATCACAATCCATACATACATCAATTGTATAAAGCACGTTTGTACATTTGTTACCCTCATTATTCTTTTTTTTTAATTATTTTATTGAGGGCTCGTACATTTCTTATCACAGTCCATACATACATCCATTGAGTCAAGCACCTATGCACACCTGTTGCCCTCGTCAATCTCAAAACATTTGCCCTCTACTTTAGCCCTCAATATCGTTTGCTCGTTTTCCCCCTCCCTCCCTCCTCCCCCCTCCCTCCTGAACCCTTCATAATCCATAAGGTTATTATTTTATACATTTAATTTCGGCTGACTTTTGTATTATCTACAGTTCTAGGAATTCACATACATTTCCAAATCTTTAGTATAAACGTTTTATAAAATTCTCTTATTATCACATTATCACTGCATTTGTTGTTTTTCTAGCATAACGTATGATTCTTTTCTCATTTTCTTGATCAACCTTAGTAGATTTGTATAAGTGCTTTACTTATATTGTGATACAGTCAATTTTATATTTATTTAAACCTTTCTAGTGGTGGAGTGGATTACACTTTGGGCCACTAACCACAAGCTCAGCAGTTCAAATCTGCCAGCCACTCTATCGGAGAAAGATGAGGGTTCTACTCTCATCAAGATTGACGGTCTCAGAAATCTTGGAAACACAAATGGATCGCTCAATCTGTCCGATAGGGTCACTATGAGAAAGAATTGACCCAATGCCTGTAAATTTGGTTTGGGTTTTGGGCTATAAAATTGTTTTATATTTCATTGATGTCTGTTTTTTTCTTTTCTCTCTATGGCTTAAATCTGATGCGGTTTTCTTCTAACTTCTCGTTGATTCATTTTAAGTCATTTTATGGACGTTTCTGATAAAAATATTGAATGCTATAGAATTTTCAAAATTCTGCTTAGTTTTTTTCCTTAAAAATTTTAAAGACATTATTCTCATTAGTATTTAATTTCATTATTTTTAATGCTTCTTGTGATCTCTTTTTGAGGGTTTATCTGTAGTTTGTTCTTAAATTAAAAAAAAAAGGTAGAATTGATTTTGAAACTAATTTGTAGCTGTCCAACACAGGTTTTCAGGTTAGTGGTATTTTGTAATTTATTAGAGTTGTTTTATGGCTAAGTTCTAATATTTAGAAATGTTCCTAAGTGATGGTAAATGTTTTGTATTTTCAGGCAGTTACAATATTGATGTATATCTAGTAAATCAATTATAATATGAGCTTAATAATTATTAATACAGCTCATATTCCTGTATTTATGTTAGTGAACCCATAATTTCATTTTCCTTTTTTATCTGTTATTTTCCATTATCCAATTCGAAACTGCTTTTCATGATGAATGAAAGATTTCAGTGGAATGAAAGTCTTGACAATTTTATGAATCTGTTTTATGTTAATTCTCCTTACTAATCTATACTAACCAGCTCTATCCCTAAACTTTAACTGAGGTGGAAATTCTGTAAAACTTTTTTTTTAATTAAATAGAATTTCTGCTTCAAAGTTAGCTGGGTTGGCTCTCATGTGTTTATTTTTAATGAGCCTCAATTCCTCATCACCGGAGTGGAAATACTTGTGCCATCCTGTCATTGTAATTTCTAATTAGGGTAAAATAAAGATTTTTCATAATAAGAGGTCAGAAATGCACTAGATATAATTCTGTAAAAATTATTGCTGAAGTATTTTTTATGCTGTTGTTACTTAAGTAAAGAAATGCTTTCAAAAGTTGATTGGTATATACAATAATAACAATAGATATTGAACATTTCAAGTAGGTTATACCATAACTTTATGATGATTAATTATACTTTTTTTCAGTAAAAAATTATAGATCATGAAATTTTCTGGAAATAAATAGACCTGAAATATAATCCCTCAAGCTCTTGTGACCTTTGGCAAGTAATTTTCCCTTGGCAGTCAACCTCATAACAAACACCAGTAAAATTTGCACATTTAACTCTGTTTGGGGATTCATGTGTATTAAATATTGTTCTAACTTGAATAGCTGATTATTTAAATTTATTAAACTTATTATGTTTATTTAATTTTAGCATCACTGAGAACAAGGACTAGGAAAGACTTAGAAGGTTGCAAAAAATTTAAGGTGCAATAAAATGGCACGTGGGCCATATCTGACTTCTCTGACTTCCCTGTTGCTGCTAAAAGCCAGGGCTCAGACGTGCCTCCCACCTATTCTGACAGCATCTGTTCCTCCCACAGCACTCAGCTTCTGTGTGGAGGTCATTCCCATGACCACATAGAACTCAACTGACCATCCAATGTGGGAAGTTCATAGGTTACCACAAATCAGAATCCATAAAGAATTGATCTGCAGCAGCCCCTCCCCTCAGGCAGTCACCAATCTGTCTCTGGTCTCCTGCCTTTCACATGAGTAGACCCTTGGCCTCTGTCCATGGCCTAGGAAGCCTGCCTGTCACTATGTCTCACAGTCTCATGGCCTTGGCACTGTTGGTCTTGTTCTGTCTCATAGTTTCCATACCACAGTCCCTGGTGCCTCTGTTTCACTGGTCTCCACCACGTCAGACAGAGATCTGGAATACGCTCTTTCAGGGGCGCTGGGCTCTTTCTTTGTGCCAGTGATGGTGCTTACACACCGAGGAGTGGCTGGGATGGCGCGGTGGATTTTGTCTTGTAGTTGACGTGCCCCAATGTAAACAAAAGTGTGACTCGATTCACACTCTCTACGAAGGCAGCAGTTAATTCCACCTTCACCATGTCCATTAGCACCGTGAAGAACTCCCTCCAAAACGGGGTCATGTCTGCAGGCATTGTATCAGGAATTACCTCACATA